TGTGAGTAGGTTTAGAAACCAAGTCGGCTCTGAGTAATGTAGAAAAACTTGCAAATTTTGCAGAAAACTTGGAAATTTTATATACAGTTTAATCCATCAAAACCCAAAATCTCTTTTAATGGATTGTAATAGGTTATAATCATTTTAAGTACTTTCAAAAAACTAGATTATGCTGGATTATAAACGATTTTGTGGTAGTATTTAATTATACGCGATTATAATGACAGCATTCTTAATTAAAATGGGTTATATTCAATTATTATCCACAGAACCTCATTGCGGGTAAATTCAGTTACTGAAAAAAAACCCGCATAGATGAAGCCCAACTGACAAAATTGCCATAACCATAACTTAAGATTTTTTGAAAACTTTAGCAAGCTCCTGCAGAAAGCATTAGGCAAAAACAAAAAGCAATATCAATTTTTTCTCCTTGTTTTTTCTCACTCTCCTTCCTTTCTCTAGTCTCCTCTCTCTGTCTCTCTCCTCTCTCTTCTCTAATTGTAATTTTGTAGCTCTTTTGTAATCTTGAGTGAAAACCAAAGTTGTGACTTATGAGCCTGCCTGTTGTTTTACTAAACTTTAAAAAAATGAAGTTCAGCTACACAATTGCAGATTGATTGAAGAATCTGGCGAATACTAACGATATGTTCGGCTCATTTTGCTTGCCTCGCTAGCCATTTCAGCAGGGAATTTAAAGGAAAAAATCGAGGGCAATTTTTATTACTTTTAGCAAAATTGAATTGCACTTAACAACGTTTCTGCAGCGGATATTCTCATGATAAAGTGCCAATTAATGAAAAAGTTTTGAAATGTCAGAACAATTGAAAATTTCATCAAGCTTCTGCAGAAAGCCTTAATCTCTCTCTCTCTCTCTCTCTCTCTCTCTCTCTCTATCTATCTCTCTCTCTCTCTCTCTCTCTCTCTCTCTCTTTCTCTTCTCTCTCTCTCTCTCTCTCACTCTCTCTCTCTCTCTCTCTCTCTTCTCTCTCTCTCTCTCTCTCTCTCTCTCTCTCTCTCTCTTTCCCCTCTCTAGTTGGCCGGGCTCTTGGCCAAAGCGTTGCAACAATAACAGTTTGTGTTCTACAAATAGTTTGTGGCTACATTTTGATCAGCTAGCAATACGCCTATTGCATTATCTGCTGATTTTTTATCAAACAAAACTGAGTTTAACAGCCTACAATTTTTTTTTTAGAAGTTGAGCAAATGTTCTCAGTTCATTGGATGCATAACTGAGATTGGTTAGTCATATTCGGCAACCTTATTTTGTAACATTTTCGAATTTATTTCAGACAAGGTTGGGAATGCCATAAAACAGCCCATCAAAAAAATTGAATCTCTTAAACTACCCCGCATGTTATTTTGTAAGTAATAATTACCCCTATGAAGTACTAATTAAGTTTTTAATCAAAAAAAGGGAAGAGCTTAAAATTTTGGTTGTTTTTGCTTTTTCTTCGTCATTTCTTTCAAATATTAAGTAGTCGACTCTCAATGTAAATAGCAAAACATTTGTGCGAGCTGTGGTTGTGTCCACACAAATTTCGATTCCCCATATTTTGTTTTTGTTGAGAGTTTTCTCTTACACCTTTCAGATAGCTTGTCTCCATAGAAAAAAAAACATTTCACTTGCATTCATTTTTGTCTGTTCTGAAAAGGTTAAGACGAAAACTGTGATAAATTGTGAGAATTTTGATACAATCAAAACACGTTATAATTTCCTTTTTGCTCAACATGACGTTTTTTTTGCTTCAATTACAACTATCTTTGTGAAAAAAAAGAGTATTGAAACAACCATTTTTTTGTAAAATAAAACAAAATTTGTACAATTTCAATTCAATTGTTTCGAAACTTCTCAAAACTTTGAAACTGGTCCATTTGAATTATAACGCGAGTTGACAATTTTTAGTATGCTGTTGCAGTATACAATGCAGTATGCTGTTATAGCTTTAACAAATTGATCGGACAACGTCTTAAAATTCTGAAATATTTCTAACCTTGAGACAGTGAAAGTTGTATTTTGAATAGTTTGAATAATTGAAATTCAAACCGAATTTTCAAAACTGCATTCGAATTGTCAAAAAAAATGCAAACCAAAATGATTTGGGTTTTTCAGATGTCAGTTTCCTAAAACAACTTTAAGCTCTTAAGTTCAAAACAATTTTCATTCAGTAGCAATCTGACATGCAATTTCCTAAAAGAAAAGAATAAATAAAACGACGGCAAAAGGCAAACACGAAACTTCAAAGAACTATTTCTAAGTAGTTTCAGCTTGAAGTTCAGAGTTATTTAAAAAATTGAAGACGTTGTCCGAAGTATTTGTTAAATGCTATACTATAGATATTGGCTGCGTAACCGTTTACGTTGTTACGGACAAAAAAACGTTGAACGTTGAATTGAATGAGCAGTCATTAGATCGATATGAGTCTGAACAACAATAAATTCTGAGTTCAAAGACAAATTTCAAAAAAATGAGAGCCAGGTTGCTGTACTAATTGAACAAAAACATCTGACTGCAGACATTTCTGCAAAACTGACTTGCTTCTTGACTTTTTAAATTTTACCCGTTTTTATTTCAAAAAATTTGACATCAGCAGCAGTAGCGGATTTAGGGAAGGGGGCAGACGCCACCCCCCCCCCCCCTCAGCGATTCGACCCCTGTCGACCCAAAGGGTCCCCCTTTGTACTATTTTGAGATATCCAGTTTTAGATGACTGACCTTAAATTTTGGATGAATGAACTAATTTTGATGGGGGAGGATTGCGCCAAAAAAACGCAATTTTTTTGTCTAAATTTCCCAAAAAGTGCATTTTTTGGCCTGTTTTTTAAAAAAATTGTCCGCGGCGCAGAAATTTTGGTCAATCTAGGGTCTTTATAGTGGAGATCCGCGCCTGATCAGCAGATAAACTGTTTCAAGAGAACTTCCATTTTTTTTTCCAATTGTGGAAAGTGTACATTTTGCTAACTCGAGTTGTTTTCTTAACACAGACAAACCTGAACAATCCCGAATAGGTTGTTAAATAAAGTTTTTCAGATCAAAGAATTTTAAAAAAATTTTCATGCTTTCAAACGTTTTTCAACACTGTGAAATGCCGCAAAGATTAGGTAAAATCTCATTATTTTGTACTTAACTCTTTTAACTTCTAGACTAAATGAAAAGATAGGTTAATAGGCAGGGGCGGATTCGACCTCTTATCAATCAAAAAGTCCTCCTTCACTATGCTTTAATGACATCTTTTTTTGGTCGAAGAACCCTAAAAATCTCCTAAACGCTCCTTGGACGCCAATACGTACAAGTATTGAAGGAAAGCGCGCGCCAAAAAACGCAATTATTTGGTCTAAGTCTTCCAAAAAGTGCCAAAAAACGGCATGAAAACACTGCTTTTGATTCTTAGATTGGCTTACTCGTTTGAAGGTATGTCAACAAATTTCTGTAAAGTCGAATATGGTATCATATTGAAGATTCCAGAAAAGTTCTTCCAACAACAATTTAGACTCTTCGAACTAAAATTGTTTTTGGATAATATTAAGAAGGAAGATACAATGAAACAACTTTTAAAAAATAATAATACAGGTTTTAATTCGCTTTAGTATCACCTGTCGCATATTTTTCGACAAATCATTTATTTTGATAGCTTTGGGAGAAAAATTGATGGAATATTTTGTAGTTCTTACACAGCAACCGGTATTATTTTCTATATCAAGAAAATAGATTCACGCCTGTAATTTCAGTTTTAGCCTATTTTTGTACTGCCGTTTTTGATATATTTTTTTAAAATAATCGTTTATATTGCTCACAGATTTTCACAAGCTTTATCTTGAAATTCTTGAGCGAGCAATCAAAGGCAGCTAGTTTTATCAAAAAACTGACACAAGATAACCAACGGAACAACGTAAACTTACATCTATTAAAACCTCACATAAATCTTCTGACTTCACTCATGGGAGTCATATGATTGTTCTACCCATTAATACGGAATAACAAACAACTTCCCAAAATTAAGTTTAACAAAAAACCCTATTAGTGAGGCTTTATGATGAATCAGTTTTCTTGGCCGTAATGTGAACTACTTGAAAAATTCCCCGGAATAAAAAAATATTGGTGGTTCATTTCTTCAGTTCTTCGAATAAATTTGAACGTGTTGTCGCAAAGGCAAATCAAGAGTTTTCTTGAGGGGAGAAGGCGCAGTTTTTCAAAAAAATTTCAAAAATTTTGTCGAACTTCTTTTTAGGTTGACCAACTTGATGTTCCGAGCACTCCCAGAACAATAAAAAGACTCTATTCTTAGCAAAAATTTAGCGCTGCAGGCAAATTTTTGAAAAAAAAAACAGGTCAAAAAAGCAGTTTTTGGGCATTTTTGGAAAATTTTGACCAAAATTGCGTCTTTTTTGGGGCGCGCTCTCATTTGAAAGTAGTAAAATAAAACTTTTAGGGTTGGTCGGCCTAAAATGGATGTCATAAAACAAAATCAAAAGGGGGAGCCTTTGGTTGGCGAGAGGGTCAACTCCCTAAGGAGAGGGCGTATCCGCCCCCACCCCCTAAGTCCACCCCTGTGTTGTCGTAATATTGCGGTCTTTCTTCTGTTTTTTGTCAGTTCAGTTCATGCTAAGTCTAATATCGTTTGAAGGGGTATGACAAAATGCATGTTCAAGCCACAGAAGTTTATTCATTTTTTGTTAATTGTGAGGCGTAACGTATTCTTTACTTTCTTGCAAAGCTTGCTCGCGGTACCATGCTGGTTTGTATTGTATTTTTCAACCATTAGATTAAATAATCATAACTTGAGCTAATCGGTTTTGTGTGTAAAAAATCAAAACAGCGTTTGTCATGTGCGCTTTTAAAAAATCTGAACCAGCCGAAAGTTCAAACTTTGGCGACTTGCGAAACGCATGTAGCTTGAAATGATGAACACACCTCTCTGAATACAGAAGAAATCTCATCTCAGATTGGTTAATAATTTGATACACCTTTCAGCAGTCATTACAGCCGGAGAAAACTTATAACTAACTTTATTTATCGCAGAAGTAAAATACAATCGAGTTGTTCTGCTGCCGAACTAAAATTGTTAATTCAACAAAAAATTGAAAAATTTTGCCTAGTATAAAATCATCATGAGTTTCGACGATTCTTGGCATCACAGCAGCCAGTTTGCCTGGCCGAAACAGTTTCCAGTGTCGATCACAGGTGCCCGTCAATCCCCAATTGACATCAAAGAAAAAGATGCCGACAAAGTGCTTCTTCCCCAGTTCAACCTGAAATGCGTCGAAGGAGATCCGAACGCGAACTGGACCATGACGAATAATGGACACACTTTGAGTTTGGCTCCCGCAGCTGGTTGCAAGTGGCAGTTGTCTGGAAGTCTTCTCCAGGGGAACTATATCCTGGACCATTTCCACAGTCATTGGGGAGAGAGCGGGGACTATGGATGTGAACACTTGATTGAGGGTCAGTCTTATGCAGGCGAGACCCACTTTGTCTTCAAATGGGCACCCAATCAGGGTAAAGAAGTCAAAGATGCCGCCGCAGTTTGGGGTATAATGATGGACGAGTCGCCTCAAAGTGACCCGAACGCGCAGAAAATATTCGATGACATCATCGGCAAAAACATTAGCAAGGTCATCAAGCCCGGCTCTACTCAGATCCCAGCGCTGGACTTCGCGACTCTGGTCCCGGCCGGACAGTCCGAATACTACGCCTACCAGGGATCCCTGACAACTCCTCCTTTTGCCGAAGTGGTGTTGCACATCGTCTTCAAGAACCCAGTCAAGGTGTCCAAGAAGTACATGGATAAACTGCGCAGTCTGGGAGATCTGAGAGGGGGGAAAACGGAGGCGAACTACCGATGGATCCAGCCTCTGAACGGCCGAAAGATTTTCTGGTCCTGCTGATTTCAAACTGGAGCTGAGTTTGAAGAAGATGTTGATCATATAAAAAACTGCTTTGAAATACTGTAGCTTTTATAAGTTATTATTCATGATTATGTATTTTTTATATGCTGTTGATGCCATTTCCAGAGCTTATATTTGTAAACTCAAGTAAACTTTTTAAACGTTTCAATAAACTAAACAGCATAATTTGATTTTTATTATTGAGTTTTTTTGAGTTTTTAGGCTGTAGAATAATAAATGTGGCCACAAGGTGTTCATTTTTTTGTTCATGAAATTTGATTGGATTGACGATCATAATCTCTCGAAGCATTCGTTCTGTGAAATATAATCTGACACTTCAGTTTCGGTATCCCAAAAGTGTGAAAATCAGAACGAGTTGAAGTTTTTGTCCTAGTTCAAAACAACAGGTCAGCTTGATGGCCAAAGCATTACCTCGCCCAATAAAATGTTCCCTTGCTGATAAGTTTCAAGTGTTTGATTTTGTGGGTGACTGATTGATGAGCCGAGTCGGTTCCTGCCAATTTGCTGGTGGCCTTACCAGTGATGGAAACTTTTTCTTGAGTTGCGACTATCGCGGAAGCATCTCCTTAGTCTGCAAATACTGATTTTGTCGTCAAAAAAAAATCGTTTTTCAATTTTTTTTTGCATGCAAAATATAGATTTTTTGTGTGGACAAGGTAGTTCTAGATACACAAATATTGGATTATTTTTCCATTTCTTAAAGACGCACAAACAGCTTATTGTTCATACGCCTTAGGCAATTCATGATCAATTTAGCATTCGAAGTAAGAAAAAACAAGCGTATCTGATCAATATCTGATTAACACTTTTTCATAAGTGAAGTTTTTTTTGTTTCATTCTTAGGGCAAAACATTTTGTTTTTTACTGAACAGCTAATTTTGGCTAATCTGAGTTAAGAGCCGAGTCGGTTCCTTTCAATTTGTTGGTGGCCATAACAGTGATGGACACTTTTTCTTGAGCCGCGACTATCGCGGAAGCATCTTCTTAGTCTGCAAGTACTTATTTTGCAGGTCCCCCTTTGTACTATTTTGAGATATCCAGTTTTAGATGACTGACCTTAAATTTTGGATGAATGAACTAATTTTGATGGGGGAGGATTGCGCCAAAAAAACGCAATTTTTTTGTCTAAATTTCCCAAAAAGTGCATTTTTTGGCCTGTTTTTTAAAAAAATTGTCCGCGGCGCAGAAATTTTGGTCAATCTAGGGTCTTTATAGTGGAGATCCGCGCCTGATCAGCAGATAAACTGTTTCAAGAGAACTTCCATTTTTTTTTCCAATTGTGGAAAGTGTACATTTTGCTAACTCGAGTTGTTTTCTTAACACAGACAAACCTGAACAATCCCGAATAGGTTGTTAAATAAAGTTTTTCAGATCAAAGAATTTTAAAAAAATTTTCATGCTTTCAAACGTTTTTCAACACTGTGAAATGCCGCAAAGATTAGGTAAAATCTCATTATTTTGTACTTAACTCTTTTAACTTCTAGACTAAATGAAAAGATAGGTTAATAGGCAGGGGCGGATTCGACCTCTTATCAATCAAAAAGTCCTCCTTCACTATGCTTTAATGACATCTTTTTTTGGTCGAAGAACCCTAAAAATCTCCTAAACGCTCCTTGGACGCCAATACGTACAAGTATTGAAGGAAAGCGCGCGCCAAAAAACGCAATTATTTGGTCTAAGTCTTCCAAAAAGTGCCAAAAAACGGCATGAAAACACTGCTTTTGATTCTTAGATTGGCTTACTCGTTTGAAGGTATGTCAACAAATTTCTGTAAAGTCGAATATGGTATCATATTGAAGATTCCAGAAAAGTTCTTCCAACAACAATTTAGACTCTTCGAACTAAAATTGTTTTTGGATAATATTAAGAAGGAAGATACAATGAAACAACTTTTAAAAAATAATAATACAGGTTTTAATTCGCTTTAGTATCACCTGTCGCATATTTTTCGACAAATCATTTATTTTGATAGCTTTGGGAGAAAAATTGATGGAATATTTTGTAGTTCTTACACAGCAACCGGTATTATTTTCTATATCAAGAAAATAGATTCACGCCTGTAATTTCAGTTTTAGCCTATTTTTGTACTGCCGTTTTTGATATATTTTTTTAAAATAATCGTTTATATTGCTCACAGATTTTCACAAGCTTTATCTTGAAATTCTTGAGCGAGCAATCAAAGGCAGCTAGTTTTATCAAAAAACTGACACAAGATAACCAACGGAACAACGTAAACTTACATCTATTAAAACCTCACATAAATCTTCTGACTTCACTCATGGGAGTCATATGATTGTTCTACCCATTAATACGGAATAACAAACAACTTCCCAAAATTAAGTTTAACAAAAAACCCTATTAGTGAGGCTTTATGATGAATCAGTTTTCTTGGCCGTAATGTGAACTACTTGAAAAATTCCCCGGAATAAAAAAATATTGGTGGTTCATTTCTTCAGTTCTTCGAATAAATTTGAACGTGTTGTCGCAAAGGCAAATCAAGAGTTTTCTTGAGGGGAGAAGGCGCAGTTTTTCAAAAAAATTTCAAAAATTTTGTCGAACTTCTTTTTAGGTTGACCAACTTGATGTTCCGAGCACTCCCAGAACAATAAAAAGACTCTATTCTTAGCAAAAATTTAGCGCTGCAGGCAAATTTTTGAAAAAAAAAACAGGTCAAAAAAGCAGTTTTTGGGCATTTTTGGAAAATTTTGACCAAAATTGCGTCTTTTTTGGGGCGCGCTCTCATTTGAAAGTAGTAAAATAAAACTTTTAGGGTTGGTCGGCCTAAAATGGATGTCATAAAACAAAATCAAAAGGGGGAGCCTTTGGTTGGCGAGAGGGTCAACTCCCTAAGGAGAGGGCGTATCCGCCCCCACCCCCTAAGTCCACCCCTGTGTTGTCGTAATATTGCGGTCTTTCTTCTGTTTTTTGTCAGTTCAGTTCATGCTAAGTCTAATATCGTTTGAAGGGGTATGACAAAATGCATGTTCAAGCCACAGAAGTTTATTCATTTTTTGTTAATTGTGAGGCGTAACGTATTCTTTACTTTCTTGCAAAGCTTGCTCGCGGTACCATGCTGGTTTGTATTGTATTTTTCAACCATTAGATTAAATAATCATAACTTGAGCTAATCGGTTTTGTGTGTAAAAAAATCAAAACAGCGTTTGTCATGTGCGCTTTTAAAAAATCTGAACCAGCCGAAAGTTCAAACTTTGGCGACTTGCGAAACGCATGTAGCTTGAAATGATGAACACACACCTCTCTGAATACAGAAGAAATCTCACCTCAGATTGGTTAATAATTTGATACACCTTTCAGCAGTCATTACAGCCGGCGAAAACTTATAACTAACTTTATTTATCGCAGAAGTAAAATACAATCGAGTTGTTCTGCTGCCGAACTAAAATTGTTAATTCAACAAAAAATTGAAAAATTTTGCCTAGTATAAAATCATCATGAGTTTCGACGATTCTTGGCATCACAGCAGCCAGTTTGCCTGGCCGAAACAGTTTCCAGTGTCGATCACAGGTGCCCGTCAATCCCCAATTGACATCAAAGAAAAAGATGCCGACAAAGTGCTTCTTCCCCAGTTCAACCTGAAATGCGTCGAAGGAGATCCGAACGCGAACTGGACCATGACGAATAATGGACACACTTTGAGTTTGGCTCCCGCAGCTGGTTGCAAGTGGCAGTTGTCTGGAAGTCTTCTCCAGGGGAACTATATCCTGGACCATTTCCACAGTCATTGGGGAGAGAGCGGGGACTATGGATGTGAACACTTGATTGAGGGTCAGTCTTATGCAGGCGAGACCCACTTTGTCTTCAAATGGGCACCCAATCAGGGTAAAGAAGTCAAAGATGCCGCCGCAGTTTGGGGTATAATGATGGACGAGTCGCCTCAAAGTGACCCGAACGCGCAGAAAATATTCGATGACATCATCGGCAAAAACATTAGCAAGGTCATCAAGCCCGGCTCTACTCAGATCCCAGCGCTGGACTTCGCGACTCTGGTCCCGGCCGGACAGTCCGAATACTACGCCTACCAGGGATCCCTGACAACTCCTCCTTTTGCCGAAGTGGTGTTGCACATCGTCTTCAAGAACCCAGTCAAGGTGTCCAAGAAGTACATGGATAAACTGCGCAGTCTGGGAGATCTGAGAGGGGGGAAAACGGAGGCGAACTACCGATGGATCCAGCCTCTGAACGGCCGAAAGATTTTCTGGTCCTGCTGATTTCAAACTGGAGCTGAGTTTGAAGAAGATGTTGATCATATAAAAAACTGCTTTGAAATACTGTAGCTTTTATAAGTTATTATTCATGATTATGTATTTTTTATATGCTGTTGATGCCATTTCCAGAGCTTATATTTGTAAACTCAAGTAAACTTTTTAAACGTTTCAATAAACTAAACAGCATAATTTGATTTTTATTATTGAGTTTTTTTGAGTTTTTAGGCTGTAGAATAATAAATGTGGCCACAAGGTGTTCATTTTTTTGTTCATGAAATTTGATTGGATTGACGATCATAATCTCTCGAAGCATTCGTTCTGTGAAATATAATCTGACACTTCAGTTTCGGTATCCCAAAAGTGTGAAAATCAGAACGAGTTGAAGTTTTTGTCCTAGTTCAAAACAACAGGTCAGCTTGATGGCCAAAGCATTACCTCGCCCAATAAAATGTTCCCTTGCTGATAAGTTTCAAGTGTTTGATTTTGTGGGTGACTGATTGATGAGCCGAGTCGGTTCCTGCCAATTTGCTGGTGGCCTTACCAGTGATGGAAACTTTTTCTTGAGTTGCGACTATCGCGGAAGCATCTCCTTAGTCTGCAAATACTGATTTTGTCGTCAAAAAAAAATCGTTTTTCAATTTTTTTTTGCATGCAAAATATAGATTTTTTGTGTGGACAAGGTAGTTCTAGATACACAAATATTGGATTATTTTTCCATTTCTTAAAGACGCACAAACAGCTTATTGTTCATACGCCTTAGGCAATTCATGATCAATTTAGCATTCGAAGTAAGAAAAAACAAGCGTATCTGATCAATATCTGATTAACACTTTTTCATAAGTGAAGTTTTTTTTGTTTCATTCTTAGGGCAAAACATTTTGTTTTTTACTGAACAGCTAATTTTGGCTAATCTGAGTTAAGAGCCGAGTCGGTTCCTTTCAATTTGTTGGTGGCCAT